AGAAGGGGTAGCTTGCCTGGAGAGATGTATGCGCACCTACTGTGACGGCCACTGGTGACAAAACGGCCACCCTTGCGTGCTTTTCCTGTCAAGAACTCTAAATCACCCTGAACTCAGGCCTGCATTCAGACATTGGACCTTGCGATAATCTGATGGCGGCGGTTATGCAGATATACCCTCAACATCACTAAACCCTAAACCTTTTGCTGCCAGAGCCTCCAATGCCAAAGGCCCTAGGCACACTCATGCCTGTCATTGTTCAGGCCTCCGGGCAAACTGGGCCGTCGTGTGAATTTTGTTGATGCAGACTTGGATTTCGTCCTTTTGCACGATGCACCCGTCCTACTGGAGACATACTGGCCCCGTTCAAAGAGCAGCGCCCGCATCTTGACGTTCATTGGCGTACAACCGAGGACGGGTTTTAGTGGCCGTGATAGTCAAGGCCCCTCAGGCAATCGGCCGCCTGCAGCAACTACGAGCATGCATGGCAGCCTCCTGATGTAGCCCTCCTTTGAGCATGTTGGTCACAGCACCCAATGAGGTGCTCGATAGAATCGTCCAGGCCTGCCGCCTATCCATATAAGTTCCCTTCCCCTTACCTGGTATGGCATAGGCTGCCATAGGCTGGTTGTACTGGCAACTGGTTCCTGGAGGAAGCAAGGTGGGTGGAGACCTGGCATAGTTGTACAAAGTCATCAACCAAGCCAGTACCGCAGGCCAAGGTATCTGCTTTACTGTGCTAAGATACGGGGGGGGGGGTGTAGTCCGGTTGTGCTATTTACGGGTTGCCGGTCAACATGTGACATGAATCTACGGTCATGCTTGGTCCAGGCGCGGAACCCCCCCCAGACAAACTTTCAATCCGATAACATTGTCCTACCATGAATGCCTTATGGGCGATATCCCCTGTGGCCGTTACACACACAGCCTGGGGGTGACAGTTCTTCTTTCTAGTTTCCGACCTTGTACCCCGCATTGCCGTGGCTAGTCGGGTGGCAAAAAAACCCTGAACTCTCGGTCTGAACTCCAGGACTGGTCTTAGGTCTGTGCCATGCTCGCCACCCACGCGAGGCACTGCACCTTAAACCAACTTTAGGGTTTAGGGTTTAGGGTTTAAGAACCCGAAAAGAATCAACAATAATATTCCCTATATTCCCCTTAATAAGGAAGAATGGTGCTTTTTTAGTTTTTGGGGGTTCTTCAGCAATTAGTGGAACGTGTCACGAAGCCCTAGGGCCCGAAACTCGAAACCCCACACGCCTGCATGTGCTTCGAACTGATGGCCTGCTGTAGTAATTCGGGTTTAGCCCACAGACCGCACGTTACGCCGCAGCCAAGGACATGTCGTTAAAACTGCGCACACCGAGACATCGCGGCTTTTGGGCTTAAAATTCAGCGCGCCCTCCACGTGGTTGCGCTTTCCCGCCAATCCATGCCTGCACGATGATAACGTCCGTGTGACCAGTGCGTTCGAATGTCCAGAGCATCCATGCCCACACTGTGATTACGTCCGTGTGACGAGTGCGTTCGAATGGCCAGAGCATCCATGCCCGCACGATGATGTCCGTGTGACCAGTGCGTGCGAATGGTCAGAGCGTCCATGGAGACTGCGCCTTGCAAGTCCACCCCCAAAAAATGTTCCCTCTAATTAAGACACGCCCAAAGCAGTGTACCCTCAAGGACACGCCCAAAGCAGTGTACCCTCAAGGACACGCCCAAAGCAGTGTACCCTCAAGGACACGCCCAAAGCAGTGTTCCCTTCCAGCAAAGCCCCCAGACCCCTCTCCTTAACCCTCCAGCCCTCAACAAGGGTTTACCCTTGGATTGTTTGCACTACGCTCCACGCCCGCCACCGCCTGACGCGTTCTACACTAACATGCACTTCTAATAAAAACAGGATGTTAACATAATCCTTCTTGCTGTTGCCCTCACCGACGAGAAATACGGTATTTGCGAGGTTTTTGCCATTCCCGCAAGCCCCGCCCGAATAAATGCGCGGCAAGACGCGGGATCTGAGCGTTTAGGGTTCAGGTTTCAGGGTTTAGGGTCTGACCTGTGTGGTTTTGGTTTCCCTCGTTCGGGTGTGCGTTGGCTGAAGACTAGCGCACTGGGTATCACAGTAGAGCGAGAAGTGGCTTGGTCCGGGGGGGCCTTAGGTGTTTCGGGCGGATGCAACTTGAAAGTCACAGCTTGCGTCTACCCCTCATCTTGCCAGTGTAGATTTCGAGTAGTGGTCCCAAATTGGTTTGCATTGATGCTGCATCCCAAAATGCGGTTGCCGGACTTGCCTTGATGCCCTTGCAGCCTTGTTTCTCTTTCTGGTTTTTGACGAGGGGTGTGCATTGCGGGTTTGGGGTTCGGGGCAGAGCGGTTTGGATGCAAAAAGGGGAAAGTGGCATCACGTGGGCACGCATGCATGGTGGAGCGCTGCGCCTGCCGTTTGCCTTCAACCGAGTTCCGCAGCATGTCGCAGTGCATGATGCGGTGTGTACGTTCAAAGAGGAAAGAGGGCCAGGTCGGCGCAAGCTAAGTCTCAGCCGGTTCATCTGCTATCGCCGCGCCGTCGAATGCTGCGCGATGTAGCCTTACACTAAAGAAGCAGAAGCCCTCCAAACCCAAAGCTTGGGCTGTTCCCCCTTATACTAACAGTCCTGAATGGGAGTGTACTAGGGGGTACTACAATCCCTATAGCAGGACTGTGAGTAAAAGGGGGGACATCCCAACACAAACCCTCAAACTCCAGGGGTCAAAAAAACAACTCATATTCCCTGATGGTCCCTTGGCAATTATACTAGAAGAACCCCCCCCCCCAAAAAAAAAAACCGATTCGAATTATTCAGGCCCCTAGAGTAAGCCGGGCACAGGTGGAGTCCAAGCTCGGCGCCATGTCTGACGTACGGAAGTGGATCCTCAGTGAGAGCCTGCTGCTGCAGGGGCCCACCATTGAGGTGCCTGCCTTTTTTTTTTTTTGGGGGGGGGGGGGGGGGGCCTTGCAACCTTTTGAGGGGAAAACCTTTCCTAGGTACTTGGAGGTTTCTGTACTTTTGAACCAATGTAAACTGTGGCTTCGAAACCATATTCGGGCCTTGGGGCCCCGTTTAAAAGGGGCTATAAGTACAGGTTATAATTGGTATATAAGTGCCATGACCCTAAAACCCTAAACCCCTAGGTTAGCAAGTAGCATGAACCTTCCAGGTAGTTTTCAGGGTTTTGCGAGGGACTCCTGAGCCCTGTTAGATGTCGATAAGGCCTCGAGGAGGAGGGATGTTTCACCGGTCGGGTGGGCAAGCCCTAAAACCCTAAACCCTAAACCCTGAATGGTATAAGCAGGGGACGAACATGCAAGTGCATGCAGAATTTGAGGCATCGAGCGTCGTCAGTGCTAAGGCAACTGAGCCTTTGTGAGTCAACCTGGGGGCACACGGCAAAAAATGGCCTTTTTTTTTAACTTGTGCTAGAGCCCCGTGATGAGAAGCACCTGCGCCGGCAGTTCAAACAGCATTGGACTGTGCAACTGCTGGAAATTTAGAACACGTGATTGGAGTTGCCCCCTGCTGCCGACACAATTGCGCTACACCGCATGGAATCCCTAAACCCTAAACCTAAACCTTAAAACCCTTCAATCTTGAGCGGTTTTGTGGGGAGCGGCCCAGAGGCGCATGATTCAAACCAGTATTACCCAGAGCGTGACAGCTGCGGATCGGACCTGTTCGTTTTACATGGGGCGACGAGCTCTGCAACAAACGGTGTCTCAGCATCGGTTTTGGCTCACGTTGGGAAGCCCATGTCGGAAGAGAACTAGCAGCGTCGCAGTTAACCCTAAAAACCCTAAACCCTAAACCCTAAAAAACCCTAAAACCCCCCCCTAAACCCTAAACCCTAAAACCTAAAAACCCTAAACCCTAAACCCTAAACCCTAAACCTAACCCAAACCCGAAAACTAAAACCCTAAAACCTAAAACCCTAAACCCTCCTAAACCCTAAACCCTAAACCCTAACCCCTAAACCTAAACCCTAAACCCTAAACCCTAAACCCTAAACCCTAAACCCTAAACCGTGTCCCTGTGCGGTACACGTTATGCGATCCGTCGTCCCATGCAATCTCATATGCCTATCTGATCGGCTAATTATGCAATTCTGAGCCTAATGCATAAGGGTTTGTACGCACGCAGTTTGCTTCATGAGCTTTCATGGAGCGCGAAATGGGACATTCTGATTCTTAGAACATTGTTGCAGGTATTTGGGGTTCGAACCATAGAGCACCCTTCCACTCATGTATATAAGGACTGTGCATCGAGCTCCGGCAATATCAGGCGGGGTAGGGAGGATGGCTCCCAAGCTCCAGGCACCGGGGTTGCCAGTCTCTTGCACAATTCTAAACACTGTATATTTGCTTGGTGTTGGAGGTCCAATTTCTCCACAAGCATGACAAATGTGGGGGTTTACGAAAATAGGGGTTTAGACCCCCAAATGGTAGGATGCCCTTATAAGAAAGACCCCAATAAGGCACCCCACTGCAAAAAAAAAAAGGCCTCTCAACATTGCCCCCGGAAACGCCGAGCTGGTTTGCACTTTGAGTCCTTAGATTTATACAGAATACAGGTTAGCTTTGAGACCTGATTCAAATCCTGCGACGAAAGGAAGTTGTTCCGGGTCTACAAGGAGCAGTTTCCCAAGCTGTACGAGTATGGCAGATAACAGGCTCAAGGGGCTTCGTGCTCCGATGTCCCGTCCGTGCTCTTGGGGTGGGCCCCTCCGGGGGTTCCTCATGTGTTACCCTTGGTGTTTATGATCTACCCACATGACTCTGATGACTACTAGTAGAAAGTAGAAGTAGAAGGACCCGTGGTGTGTATCCAGCCGACGAGAGAAGTTGCATTAGTTGGATGCAAACGCTCATGCAGTACACGGTCGTTCCACGGTGCTGTCTAAGCCCTTTTTGCTCCGTCCGCTTAGGCAGGTAGTCAGGCCAGCTGTTAGGATTCAGGATGCCTAGTGCGATGGTGCTTCCTCCAGGACTGGACATCAGCTTCTCCGCACATGTGACAACTGAGTTGCAAAAGTGGAACCTCTGGCTTGTTCCTCAGTGTTTCCTGCAGTCAGTGGCCGCAATGGACTGCTGGAGGTGCCATGGTGAGGTATTCGTGTACTGCGATGGCTGCAAGGGTGCAGGAGAAGCGAAGAGCATCTTGACCTGTTGGAGGGCAAAGGACAGAACACGAAGTGCGCGAAGTGCAAGGGGAAGGGCGTCTTCGAGCGAGTCTCCGAATGCCGCCGTTGCGACGCCCTTGGCATCTGGCGCTGCGACCGCTGCGCCAAGCGTGAAGAACTCAAGGGCGCCAAAGGCGGCGCCAAAGGCAGCTCCATGGGCTCGGCGACTTGGTAGCCCAGTGGTACCCTTTACCCCGTTTTTTTTTGGGGGGGGCGGGGGGGGGTTCAACTGGGTTCCCTTATAAAAATAACAACCCAAAAAAGGGTGCCCTTATTGTAATGTGGTTACTGGGCTGCTCAGGCGAAAGCTCCGGGGAAAGGTTTTAAGGGCCGTCAGCAGAGCCGGATCAAAACATGACGATCACGCGCCTCTCAAGCACGGAAGTCTCACAAATCTCCAGATTCTGGGGCGAGCGCCTGGCGCGCTGCAGCGGCTTGGAGATGGTCGGGCTTTGGAGCATCGAAAATCCCTGGATGGCTTGGCGCTACAGGACTCGCTTCGCTGAGCTGGCCAAGAACTCGAGGAAGCCAGCAGAGCTTCGGGGTTTAGGGTTTAGGGTTTAGGGTTTAGGGTTTAGGCTCCGCGCCGGGCAACATCTTGTCCGTTGCCCGGAATGGTGTCGATGCGGGACTCCTGGTTATTGTTTGGAGATTGGGAAGCCAAATTGGGCTTTCCGACATTAGGGGTACCTTCTTGGGGTCCTTATAAGAAGGGAATCCTACCATTTGGGGGACTATGTCAGGGGTCCCTTCTTTTCGTAAGCACCAAAATCCCAACAAGAATCCGTGCCCTCAGGACGGCGTGCTGGACAGGTCTTCGGAGCAGGGCAGTACTTTGCCAAAGACCCGTCCATTTCTATCAGCTACTGCAGGGGTGGTGCTTATATGCTGATCTGCCAGCTTCTGCTTGGGGTTGAGTCCTCCACGGAGGAGAAGAAGATGGCGGTGTCAAGAGGGTTGTTCTCTCAGGGCGCCGGGCTTGTTTTCAGCTTCAATTTTTCGGACGAAACGCACACTTCAGTCCGGCCCTCATAGCAAGCCCGAAGCCCTAAGCCCGTCCATCACACTCCTCAAGGAGACAAAGATGGGGATCACATCTGGGTTTCCCACAATGGCTACTCCGCCAGCCCAAGCATCCTGGATGGAAAGGTTGTGCTCACACCAATTGGCATGGTTGTTTTTGCTGCCGTTCTTCTTCCTTCTGCTCTTTCTCCTCCTCCATTCCTTCTGATGATGTCTAGCGCTAACGCAACCAGTGCGAGTGCCGGCACCGGCACCACCACCAAATCAGACTTTCGTCAAACGGAGCAAGCACCAAAAAACTCATGTCGACCCTTTTGTGGGCCGAAACCTAGGTGTTGACTAAGTGATGGAGAACATAGTG